CCTGTTTAAGACACTAGAAAATAAAAATCCATACCCTGTTCAAGACAAATCGGAAAAATAAGGAATAGCTATCTACGCCGCAACCATCAAAACTGTAATTATACTGACATCCATCAAAGACAATAAGAAGTTGTTGATAGCACGTTAATCCTGGTACAGTGAAGCAGTATCTCTACTATTTCGACGGTATTTCTTATAAAAATATTACCCTGTCCAAGACACACAAAAAAATCTCGCTCTTTTATCGAAATTGTAGAGCCTTTTTACGACAATTTCGGGTGAAATGTATTCCCTGTATACCTCCCCCCGGGGGCTTCCTAGATCATCTACTAGCTAGCTCTTTCATGTTGTCAATCGCATCCGTTCCTTCTGCTATTGTGTTGTCGAGTCCTGCAAGAGATTTCTGCATGTCAATCATTTGAAACAGAAGTTTTCTTGCTCACAATAGTTAAGGTACTCGTCAATTATTCGGGATYGTATCACGGTATGGCTCACAGCTAGTATAACAACGGTATCTCAGCTCCAAGGTTTTTGTACCGAATGCCACGTCTTGTACTATATCTGGCCTAAAAATGTGATCGACGAAACGACGACTTTGTTCTGGTGATATTCTTGCACGATATTTTGGCTCTTTCCATCTTCTATAGCGTGCTGCCTTGATTGGTCAATTTTCCATTTTGATAAGGATGGTATAAACTTCAAAAGCTCTGTTTAAATATTCGTACTGCATTCATCAACTCTAAACAATACATTTTGATAGTGTACGCTCSTTTAGGAAAATCAACATGGCTTCGGGTATATTAAAATGAAGCTAGTTCTGAAAAGCTAGTTTTAATATATTTTATTCAGTGCGAGGTTATGAGTTTCTGAAAATGTACAGAATTTTAAAAAAGGACATTTTTGTCTTTTTACATTTTTATTTAGTAAATATTTTCTGCATGTTTCTTTAGCGGCGTCCATGCAAATTTTCCAAAAAAATTAAGCCGATAATTAAACGCGAAGACACGCTTCTCTTCAATGAACTTCAGTAATTCAACAAATTATCAAAACTTTGACTGCGCGTAACTCTGAAGTTAAAATTTGCCCCATTCAAATTATTTTGGATTTTGATAGTGATGATAATGGGCAATCGAAATATAGTGGATGATCGTAAGTAAACAACCGCACAATTGAGAAACACGCATTCGCAGTTCCCCAAAAACCAGTGTTTGTTAAATCACGATAAACTATGGTCTAAATAAAAATCTGTAAAATATTCCCAATTTAAAATAACTGAGTTTTAAAACGCTCTAAGTAATTCTGAATAGATGTACAATTGGCTTGTAAAGTTTCATTGAAAAATATCAAAGTTAGATAATATTTTCGAGAGCTTAGATTTGCATTATTTTCATAAGGCATTAT